GGAACGAGCACTGGGAGTGCCTGCGGGGAGAGGAGAGCCGGGAGGGACGTTAAGCAGGGCCTAGGAACGCGTGAGTCACGAGGTGCTGGATTTCCCCACAGTAGCACACTTTGACCCTGAAGACAGTCGAGCACATCCTCCTCCACCCGGCAGAACTTGTCTGACCGGAGGCTGACACCCTTCATGCGTGTTGCGGAGAGTCGTTGTGCACCTCCAGCTTTCAGAAGAGGTCTCCTGCGTAGGGGCCCTCCTAGGTTTGAGAGACCAAAGAAGGCTGTCCTGCTGTAGAACTCTGTCTGAAGACGTGCAGGAAGTGGTAGTTTTTTTTAGTAAACCAAGTAATGTAAGATGGGAAGAGAAGGGGTTTTGGCACACTGACCTTCCCTTTGTGGAAACAGGAGCATCAGCCTTCTAACAGAAATACTCTCACTTTTATCGTTTTCCAGTTTTCCTTGCTTTCACACTGCTCTTACTCTCTGGGCACTTATGTTACCTGAGTGGACAGTTTTGACTACAGAGATGTTCAGTGGCAGTGCCAGAGATAAACCACAAACATCATCCTCAGCTGGATGGATAGAAGAGGCATTGTTCCCAAGGGCACACGAGGTGGTTTCAGAAAGCAGGAAACACTGTGTGTGTGTGACAAAACCATCATCTGAATCAATGATACACAGTCTAAACAGTTAGAAATCCAGCTTTTAGACTTCAAAGGTTAGAGCAGGAGCAACAGCTCTGCAAAATAAAGTTTGTTCCTACTGCACCAGTGTTTATGACGACTACATTGTCGTGTTCTTTCCCTTATTTTGACATCATGACAAAATCACCTTCATGTCAAACTAATCCTGTACTTGCATTTCAGTCCTTCTTATATATAGGCCATTAGACTTACATGGAACACCATCCTTTCTATCGCCACCATGCAAGACACTTACCAAAGCTTTTCTTCAGCTATGGCAGCCTGAAGTTGCAGCCAGCAGAAGGTGACGCTGCTACCAAAAGCCCACCCTTTCCTCACTAAAGAACCACAGGCTCCTGCCTTGCAGTTCTCCCAAGCTACTTTCTTTACAGCTAAGCATAGCCCTGGCAGTCAAAAGGCAGCTGCTAGGGGTAGACTAGATTTTTCTTGTCAGGAGCTGTACTAATTTCAAAGCAAAAGCATTCCAGCAACATAGACCTTTATAATGGCACCTGGAATACTTTATTTCCCACAGAGACTCAGAATAGTTCATCATCTTTTCTCACTACGGTGAGTTGCTGTAGCAAGAAGGAAGAGAACATGCAGTTAAGGCACCATGGGTAAGCCTGTCCATGTACTGCCTATCCATGATAGAGCCCTGCCTGATTCTTTAATTGATTCTTACATGTCTGGTGTCAATGAATCTTCCCAATTCCTTTTAATTTGCTGGTACTGTCTGCCTCATATGGCATTAAATCTTAGAAGCTCACTGTCTGCCGTGTGAAATACCACCTAAATATAATTGGTCAATCTGTTTCAAGCAAAAGTGTCCCCTAACCTAGTATTCATACGATTTGGTGAATACTAATTCTGCATCCACTTGACTCACAACTTTCAAGGTTTTGTAAACCTTGCCCTTTTCTCCCCTTAGCCTTATCCTCTCCAGATTGACGGCTTCCAGCATTTTTTATTCCTCCTCACAAAGTGGCTGCTCTGTTCCCTTGATCCCATTAGTTGCCCTCTATTTAACTCCACTATGGACTCACTCCATATGTAGAAACCAGAACTGCAAAATACTGAAAATTGGGTCCACCAATTTTACACAGGAGCAAAATAGCACCACCTGTACTTGTGTTCTGCTCACAATACCCTTCCATAAGATGCCTATCTAACATTTTGATGCAGCCCCTCGCTGTGGTGATGGTTTCAGAAAAATTCTTCAAGATGTCTGCCCTGAGCCATAACTACAAGTTGCTGAACTGCAAGTTCAGTACCATGTATATTCTATATATACCACAAATGCATAAATATGTACTGGAGCACATCTACTCCTTTTGCCCATGGAAGTGTTACCTGGCAATGAAGAAGTTAAGATTTTGTAAAGGACAGTCTGTGAAAGCTTGAAAATCTTCAGTTTAGAATTGAATAGAAACATGTGGCAAGGAAACTCAACATTTCCTTACAAGCTCATAGACTTTGAGGAGAGGCAGAAGACTGATAAATGAACCATCTGTGTCAGAAGAGTAACCACAAAGATACGAAGGCAGAAGTAGTTTTGAAAAGCCTAGTCAAACAGAAGATAACTGTGCTCCTAAACTTGGTTCATTTAAAATCACACCCTCTGAGATAAGAGACCCTTGCTCACAGAGACCCTTCCTCAAGGAACATGTAAGAGCCAGTGATTGTAGTTAACACTCTCACCTACATGGAAAATACTGATTTTCACTGTTTGAAATGTATAAAGTTGGACAGCTGGCAGACTGAGATTGTGCCAGCTTTCTGGAGTTACCACCTAGCACTCATCTCTGCACAGACATGAAATAAACATCTCTACTCTGTGTGTTAATCTCCTCTCTGTAAACTGCGTGAAGAAGCCCGATTTTGGGACAACAGAAGGATCTCACAAAACTGAGCTCCTTGCCACTGGAGTAGTGTTAGACTACGTGAGAAAGCATTATATCATCTGCAAATGTGGGTAATTTCATTGTTCATTTACTCATCTGAAACACAGCTAAACTTGCTGAATAAAATCACTCAGGGACTGCCAATACTGAAATTCTTTCTTATCCAGAGAGGAGTCCATTAAGTCTTAACCCTTTATTTCTTCATCTCAATTGTAAAAGGATCCCTTACATTCCTCTGGAACCAACATAATTACTTTAGTTTCTACTCGCACATTTCTCCATGTAAGAAAATATTTCAGAAGTTTATCAAAGGGGCGCCAGGCATATCTAAGTGCCATGCAGGGATGGGAAAAGCAAGAATACAAATTCCTTCCCTTCACCCACTGTATAGGGTTTGCGTGGCAAGGTTTTGTTCGCAGTGGGGCTGCAGAGGTGGTGGCTTCTATAAGATGCCAAAAGCTTCCCCTTTGTCTGACAGGGCCAGTACCAGCCAGCTCCAAGATGGACCCGGTTCTGGCTAAGGCTGAGCCGATCAGTGGCGATGGTAGCACCTCTGGCATAACATGCTTAAGAAGGGGGAAAAGTTACTGCATATGAGCAACTGCAGGCAGAGAGAGGAGCGAGAATATGTGACAGAAACACCTCTGCCGACATCAGGGTCAGTGAAGGTGCAGGGGCAGACACTCCATGCACCAGAGCCAAGATTCCTCTGCAGCCCATGATGAAGACCATGGTGTTACAAGCAAAAAGCAGGTGTAGATCCCCCAGGGACAAGGCACAGCACTCAGTGATGAAACCTTTGGCTTTATGGAAAGTGCAGCATTACCACAGTGGGAGCTCCGGGACATTGACACTAATTAAATGGGGACCTAATGCTGTGGAGCCCTCCCTGCGAATGAAGCTCAATAGAAAACACTGTAGGGTAGATAATACAATTTGCACTGATTAATATATCATACGTATGTAATGCCCTGTTTTGCTCATTAGTGAACTTGCTGATGTACTGCAGGTGGTAAAGCAGCTTGGTGGTCACCTGGTAGCTACCTAAGTTCAACTCTCTACAGCCATCCAAGAATTAGCTAATCTCTCACAGTTGCCCCCTTCCAAAGGGAAATAAAACCAAAAATACAGTTTAAAGTCAGACAGCCCATCACTGCATTTGAGCAAACTTAACTCTTAAGTATTTTTACTGCAAAATTATAATTCAAAATAGTACTTGGAAGCACTTTGTTTTAAACACAAGCTTCACACAGCTCTAGTCTTTTAATGACCTTCTTGTTATATACAGGTTTAGGACTCTTAACACTGTTAACAATAAAGCATTACATTGCAATCACTGATCAGTTCAGCTGAAACATAGTAAGTAATATAGCCCATCCTTTGCTTTTCATGTCTATAGCTTGATTTTTTTTCTGGCTGATAAGAATAAAAGTTTAAAAAAAAAAAATGTAATGTTAATAAATTATTCAGCCACTATATATGATTTAACTTCCATATTTCCTGTTCTATCTAAATATATGTACACAAATCCTACGACAAAGCTTTCATATACATTTCACATACCTGCTTTCTGAATACATTCGTTACCGTAATTTCAACGTGAGCTATGACTATTAACCAGAATTATTTCTTCCCTTCTCATGCTCCCTCATGCACGCATTTATTGTGCAGAAGTCTGTGACACCCCAGTCCTTGATTCTCACATAGTGCATGTACTTAATCTCATTAGCAATGCATCTGCATTCTCTCCGCCATATTGTTCCTCCATCTTTTCCCAACAACCTGACTTCTCTTCAGGTTTGTTTGGATTTTTTTAAATATACACTCCCAACAGCTCCAGCCAAAACACAACATAAAAATTACTTGACAAACACCACAGAGGTGTTTAGCAAGTAAGTTCAGTTATGATATACTCAATAACAGCTTCTGTTACTGAATAAGCAGTGTAACAGTTCATACCATGTTCAACTTACTACTGCCACAAGATACAACCAGTCCCTCTAACCATGCTTATCAGTGATTAGAAGCTCATAAAATTAATCACTGATCTTCCTATATGAACATTTAAATTGCATTGATCCATGCTCAAATATGCTTATTAATCCCAGAGAACTAGAACTATATAGTTTAGTTTTGTTCACAAAAATATGTTTATATTCTTTAAAATGTATACATTCAACCAAATATAAAGATCAGCCAAAGCATGATTGAATAAAGAAATTCCAAAGAATAGTGCAGTGTTGATATTACTCAACAATACCTGAGGCTTACAGACTTAGTAGTCACTACAAATTCACTTGTATTGTCTGAATGAGTATTATGAATGTACATATAAAATCTGCTCAGTTGGTTGGCTTTCCAAGTATGACAGTGTTGGGGCTTTCAATTCATATCAGATGGAACCCAAGCTTTCTGTGTTATCAGGCTGTGACCTGCTGACCTAAAAAATAAAAAACATAAATTTAACCTGTAGAGTCATGTCTTTGCATGTGTCATCACTGTATATTAGAAACTAATATCAACAACACATCTGTTTTCACTAATGTTTTGCCCCATATTCCTTCTCTCCCCCCTTTTTTGTTAATATTTTATCATTAGATAGCACTGGAATCACCCATTATTTCAGAACATCAAATTTCAAGGAACTTAAAGTTATAGCTTATGATGACTTAACTAATGGGCAAACACAGAATCACAGAATCATAGAATCATATAACGGTTTGGGTTGGAAAGGACCTTAAGATCATCTAGTTCCAACCCCCGTGCCATGAGCAGGGACACCTCACACTAAACTATGTCGCACAAGGCTCTGTCCAACCTGGCCTTGAACACCGCCAGGGTTGGAGCATTCACAACTTCCTTGGGCAACCTATTCCAGTGCCTCACCACCCTCACTGTGAAGAACTTCTTCCTTAGATCTAATCTAAACTTCCCCTCTTTATGTTTGAACCCGTTACCTCATGTCCTACCACTACAGTCCCTAATGAAGAGTCTCTCCCCACCATCCTTATACGCCCTCTTCAGAGACTGGAAGGCTGCTATGAGGTCTACAAACATGTATAAGGACTGTGTGTGATACATAAGGGGATATAGATCTATATAATCCTTGCAATATTTTCATATAAAGGGATTAGCTTCTTGGAATGGGATAAGTACTTTCAATTTCCAGTAACATTACTTACTTCCTTCCCTCATCTTTTTTAATTCTTGTATTATATCACTATACACATTGGATAAAAGCTCCTCTTGGGATTTTGTTCCATCCAGATAAACTAAGAAAGATGAAAGAAAGTTTTCATGAGTTCTGTGCCAGTTATTTTTTAATAGCAATTGGCAATATTTTTGGTATTCCTGGGTGTGCCATCAGAAGAGATGAAAAAAATAAAACCCAAGAACAGTACCTCCCTTTTCTTCTTTCCCAAACTTGTTTAGATGTTAAAAAATAACATAATGTAAAAGTATTCTAGTTCAGAGTTACTTTACTTTTTGTGTATGTGTGTGTGTGTGTCTGTAAGGAAGTCTCCATAAGGGTAGTGGTAATAGCATTAGGACAAGGGTTCCTATGCAGTAGAAGACCTCAGGTTCTTCCTCAGCTTCAGGGTTTGAGCAAGTCAAGGAAAGGCACCACAGTTCCCATTCTCACTGCACAGCAAGATGCATGTGCTGATGAAGCAGCTACCTGAATTCTCCCAGGAGTGGGCAGTCCAAGAGCTGTATAGCTGTGAACAAGCTCATGGCAGCGCCCCATCAGCTGGCCCAGGTTTGAAACTTCACATGCAAGACTGGTGACTGTAGTGCATGCAGGCAGCACCTATGAAGTGTCTTAAGTGACTTAACCAGCATTTCAGTTATGATCCGAAGAACTCTGACAGTGCATCTGCTATCATCTCAGAAGCTTCCTATTTAGCCATACACATGCATGCTAGCTTGTTACATACACCATACACTCATACACATGTGCTAGCCATTTAAAAGAATAGCTTGGTAAATGGACTTAGTAACCAGAACATTTGTATTTTTTAACTTCATAACTTTCATTATTTAAAAAAACAAAACCCCTATAGACTCGAAAAATAAATCAGCAAAAGACCCAAATCTACTGTCCAAGTGCCACAAAAACATTTAAAGAAAACTGTCCCATTCAAAAAAAAAAAAACCCATAACCCAACAGTAGCTGTGTAAGTGCCACAGTTTAGCAGTTTCTAAGTTTAAAATTAGGGATACCATACCAATGTTACTTGCATTCTCTTCCAATTCACTTTTATATTTCAGATACATAGGCCACACGTGTCCATCGAAGTAACCCGGTGTATCTGCTGGCTGATAGACTCTGGTGCTACACAAAAATATATTTGCTTTTCCATACAAGTTTTACATTTTCCCCTAGAGTCAGCTGATTTCATAAGAGCATCTATCCAAAATAAAAATTAAAAAAAAAAAAAAAAAAAGACTGGCAGGCTATATAAATGTTGGAGCAAAGGAGGCTCCTTTGTTTTAATATAATCTGTGATACAGACTTTTGCTAGCTTACCTATTTCTGCCAAACAGATTACATTTAAGATAGGGAAAAAGTTGTGGGTTTGGGGTTTTGTTTACTTGAAAAAGGTATTACATGTAACTTAAGCTGTACTGAAAGTGTTACCGAACCAAATGACTTCTTCTTTTTCTTTTTTTTTTAATATTCAGATTTTCAAGTTTTCAATAACTAGGGGTTTTGCCTAGTCACATCCAGCATCCAGCCTTGGACACTAACATCCTTTAAAGGTGAGTCTAATGAGAAACCAACAAAGTGGAATCAACCAAATCCACTTCAGCAGATTTCTTCACTCACTCAGCAGATTCTGACTGTGTCCACATGTACTGTGCTCCAAATTTGGAGGCAATTCGGATATTGGCTCAATAATCTAAATCAGATACACGGTGCAACTAATGCACAGTCGAAACAAAGCATACACTAAAATATCGTTACTTTAGCAATAATCATCATGTGCTGTATTCAAACAAAGATAAGACTGCTTAGTATTTCTTAAACTGTTTCTCATTTTAAACATGGTTTAACTCCAATATGCAGTCAGTAATCTAAATAATTTAAAATAATTTATCTCGACAAGTTAGTTTTTATAGTGTTTGTAAAACATTTAGCATTTTAATACCTCTGTGCCCTAATATAGATAAATAAATAAATACATACATAATGATAATAAAAAGCCCCAAAACGAACCATAAACTGAAACAACTCCTCCCCCATCTCAGCGTGCTTTTGTTAATGTTGGTTAAATACCCACACAGTCTTCCCTGGGAATCACAGAGGACAGATGATCTTAATAGCTTACATTTTTCAAGAACCAAAGAAAAATCAGTATAAAAGAACCAGTCCAGGTTAGGGGACCACAGAGACCCTCCATGAGCAGTAACTGTATAACCTTACCTCCTTCTCCTTTTGCACTCTTCATAAGGAAGGGTCAAAAAATATCTTCTATTCCATAGATCATTAAGCGGCCTAAGATAATAACATATTTAGTTCCCTATTCCTTTTTAATGTGGCTTTAATATACCAGGTTACATATTACTGCTTACTCATAATTGTATAGCAGAAAGCCTTCAACAATCAAAATATAAACAACATCTGTATTTTTCAGATTGTCACATGTATTTTGTGGCTCTTCTGTCACAACACCTGAGCTTGCTGGGCTTTTCATCCAATTGCGAATACTTTTCACCATTTCATCCATATAAAGGGCATCAAGTACTAGATGAAAACAGAAAGTTAGGCATCTCTAAAAAACAAGAATTAAAAGCCCTCAAAACCTAGGTTAATTGGTAAGAATAAAATAATCTACATACAAGTCTAAATGAAAGGGAACAGGATTACCCCAAATACCTCACACATGAGTAATTCCATGTTTGCCACTGATGACACCCTGAAACTAAAGCTTTCCACAGGACAGGGGTATTTTTGGTGGTCTCTCTGAGTTCTGTAGCACCAGAAGGTGTGCGAACACACTTCACAGCCTTTCCCCTGACAACAGAAACAGCAGGGACCATTCCCATATTCCACAAAACTTGTAAAAAAAACTTAATTTACCGTGAGACCTGTACCCTTCTGTCAATTGTCACTGACACAGGTGAAGGGAGCAGGCGCTCAAAACTTTTTGCTTTGGGTTTTTACTGGGTTCAGCTATTTGGAAGGTGGGGATGGATGGATGAATTGAAAGGAGAATGCAAAACAGCACAATGTAGCACCTGTTTTGTCTGTAGACACGTAAGAACATACTAAATAAGTACTGAATGGAACAGAGAAGGCAGCCTTTGGGTAACAGAAGAGCAAACACATTTTAGAGGAGCTTTTAAGAGCAGCATTAAACCTAGGTATTTGAACCAAAATGTCCAACTTATCCCTCCAGTTTCACATTCCAATTTCATGAAGTCTAGAAATTGATCTAAAGACTGCATAGCTGATAAAAAGTCAGTTTTCGGATACAATTTAAGGGTCTGGCCAATGTTGTGAGAAATACATTTGTGATCATCAAGTATCAACAGAGATTAGCCAATAAGCAACTGTTCACAACTAGATATGACCTGAACCAAAGCACTAGCCTAAAGTGGATCTGGATCTACAAGTTTATAAAACCAAATTGGCATATTGAGCCAGCATTAACCATGAACTTCGAAACATTTGGTCTCTGTGTGTGATCTGACATGAAATAATGGTGTCAGGATCAGATCCAAGTTTTGACTGACTTGGTATATGACAATGAAAGAGACTCAGTGGAGGGTAAGAAGTGTTGAAGCTCAGCATAACAGAATTTCAGTACAACATTCAAAGCAATGCATCAAAGTTACTGACCATCATATAGCTTAAATCCACGTTCATCTGTTTCTACTTCAGACTCTGGCTGAAGGAGGTAAAAAAGGCATGTTTTCAAGGCTGCTTTTGTGACCACTGTCACAGATACATACTCTCCTGTTACAAACATGGGGGTTATACACTTTTGTGTCCCAAGTGATTAAATTTATCTTCAAAATTAAACTGCTGTATACAACTGTTAAAATAGAATACAAACACAAAAATATTGTTTTATCTCGAACCACAAATTCTCCCAATCGTACCTGTCAAGTTCATTTGAAGTTTACTTCAGAAATAAGAGCTCCTTCACTACCCTTAACAAACAACTCCAGTGTCAATACAGAAGTTGTTCTTCTGTTCTGATTCTAGAGACAAAGAACTACCTATTGCTATACTGTGTAGAGTTAACAAAATTTCATTAACTTCATTAGCACAAAGTATCTTGAAAAAGATCAAAGAAGACAATAGACCTCTTTTTACTGAGTATAGTTAGTGGTTCTGGCTACTGAAAGTTCAATCATCCCAGTGCTCATTTTATTTCTTTTTCTCATGAAGTTAACATTATTTTAAGCAGCATCAATTTTAAAAGTTTATCAGTAGGAAACTGGAAAGAGAAGAAATCATACTAAAACCTACTCAATCCTACTCTTACCTATCAGGGCTTTCCATCAGTACATTTACCTTAAAGAAGTCATCTTGGGAGATTATATCACAGTTGGGAAGCATTTTCTTAAGCTTTTCTGCCAGTGTTGTTTTCCCCCCATTTGTTACACTGAGTTAAAAAACAGTAAAAAAAGTATCAAGACAAAAATCAATCTTTTAAACATGTGTACATGCTCACACACATATTTATGTATAGTTAGACATAAAGAGACAATCCCAAAAAAAGCTTATTCCCATTACATACTCATTAGCTCTGACAGGATTTAACAGCTTTCAGACAGTAAATCTAGCAGTGTCAAGAAAGAGGTTAAAGAGAGGTGGTACCCGAGATCTCAGAGACAACATTTAACTTTTTTTTTTAAGGGTTACATATCATAAGATGAGATGATTACATGTTGTATTTGTAATCTACTTCCAAAAAACGTAGAATCATAGAACAATTAGGGTTGGAAAGGACCTTAAGATCATCTAGTTCCAACCCCCCTGCATTCAGAAATAGAAATTACATCACTTCATTCTGAAAGGAAGACCAGTCTTTAGCTGTAGAGGAAATCTAATTGCTAATACTTACCCTCCAAGGCCAATAACCAATACCTTCATGGTTTTTCTTCTCCGTTCTTCCTTTTCACTGTCAAAAATAGTAGCCAGAGAAAACTCTTAATTCAGTAACACGGAAAGCAGCTGTTGTATTAAAAAATGCCAATTACAAATAAGACTTATTTTCTGTCTTGGTTTTTTTTTTTAATTTCCTTTTTGCAAAGCTAATGCCAGAACCTCAACTGCTTGTTCTAATGCTAACAAAAAACTCCCTGCAACATATATGCCACATCACAGATTCACCTTAGACAGTATATTAATCATTTGGGGGGAACTCTGAGACTCATTTCTACCAATATTAATACCACAAGATCCCTCAAGAAAAGCAGTCACTAGATCAAGCACTAATAGTATAAAAAAGACTTGGTAAACAGAGGCTGTGGTGGCAAAACAAGCAAAAAGCTTAAAAAGGAAAGAAGTGACATGCTGAGGAGAAAGACATTTTAAAAATTTTATGAAGGGTTGTAACAAAGAGTACCCTCAAAGATTCTTTTATGAACCTGATCTTAGCAGTGTGAATTCACCACTGCCTTCTTGTGAGACTCAGCAGCACAGACCATAAAAGTGCTCCTCTTCTGCTCCACCACAGAATAATGGGGAGTCATTAAAGCTACTGTAAAGGCAGTTTAAGCCATTGTAGCTGATTTAGCACTGAGATGGACTAAATAGCACTTGATCTTCTTCAGAAAAGACCAAAGACTGAAACCCTGGAAAAGGTTACATTTGTCTACCCATACCCCCGTTGCTGCCAAGAAACCAACCCTGGGGCTCTGGCTGGCTGACCACCTTCAGTGGTCAGAACTGCCAGAAGACACAACCCTGTCTTTCCCTGACTCTTTTCCCAGAGCTTTCTTCTGCAGCAGGTGTTTGAAGAGTCCGTAGTGAACTACACTGGAAAACTACTACAGCTGAAAAACAGTTCTGCAAAGAAGGAGGGAGGGGAAGAATGTTAGTTTTCAGCAGTGCAAATTCCCTCCAGTTTACCATCCAGTTACCTGTGCCTGTAAAGGTGTGGTGTAGCAGAAGGACAGGTTGTAGCAGGGATGCTTCCCTTGGCAGCAGCACTAGTCTACAGAGTTTGTCAAACCAGTTTAATATTTTCAAACATTGTTTCCATGAGCACAAACCCATTAATAACTATTTAACCACATGCAAACACCCTGGTTTTCACTCGGTCTGTCCTCCTAGGTCACACTTAAGGAGATAAAGACTATGACACCCAAGGCCTGAAATGACTATCTCCCCTCCCCAACAAGCCAGTGTCTGTACTTAAAGCATCAGTTTGAAAGTAAGCCCACACTATTTCTGTGAAGGTAAGTTTTAGACATATGCAGAGTTTGCATTTGGTGCAATACTGCAAATTCAGCTGTTTCTCAGATCTGTGAGATCTTTGCATGGTTGCTTTATGGTTGTTTCCGTTAAAATAAAATAGAAAGACATACTGACTAGCCCAGGTCATCACCAGTGTGATAACCACTGCTCTGCATACCTGCAGTACCTGGCACTGGCAAGTTTGTAAGTTAGCAAGCAAGGGTTTTCAAAGAATGTTGTCATTCTCAAGTTCAACAATGCATCGTATGTTTGTGGTATTTATCTATTTGAAGAGTGTAAACACATTATCTGTTCTGAGGAAGCAGTGATACACAGTTCATTGAAAAATAAAGATCTAAAGATCATCAGTAAGGTTTGTGTACCAGAGGATTAGCCTTTGTCCCACAAAAAATGCTATGTAACAAACTAAACAACATCTGGACACACATGCTGAGCTTTGGACTCTAATTTACGCCATTATCTATACGAAAGTTAATCCCAGCTTCAGGCAAAAAACTCCAGGATGAAAAAGCGCAGCAAAGCTCTTTCTCCTCCCAGAGTAATGCGTAGCACCAACTGTAACGGCAAATTTGTCACCAATGTTGTAACACTGAAATCCTAAACTACTCTACCCGGGCTCGGTTTAGCATCTTTAAACAGGACATAAACCCGTGCTAACCGCAACATGGAATCGCCACCACCCTAACTTGAACAGCACGACGGAGCTCCAGCACGCCGTGATAGCCGAAGTGTCCTTCCTCCCAGGCCCCGCCACACGCGGGTGGAAGTGTCCCGGGCACCAAACCCCACAGCCGGAACACGGGGGGCGGTGGGGGGCACGCCTTACCCCGCAGTTCCCAACACCGCTGCGTCTCTGCGGTAAACGGAACTTCGATCGCTGCGCACAGACCCCGGGACAGCGCCAGAGGGAGCCCCCCGGGCCGAGGCGCTTCCCCTGGGC